GTTTGCGCTATTCTTATTAGGGTTGGTCACATTTCAGTAACGCTGCTTTGCCTGAGAATTAATAGACCAGAAATCAAACTTCTATTCTTCACGTGGATAGTCATCATCCCCCCAGCAATTAGTGGATGATTATGTGGGTCTACTGTCTACTAATGTTAGGAGGCATTATGGATCACCAATGCAAGTACTGTATTTCCTCCTTGTAGCAGGACCTCAAAAAATGCAGGGAGATCCTGTCTATATTACCCTGTGTGCCCTGTTATTCAGTAAAAGTAGGATCCTCAATGAGTCTGGATGCACTAGCATGAGGTCAAAAAAATAAGAGGTGGTAATCACACTGGTATGGAATTTGGGTTTCCCATTAAGAGAACCAGAACATTTAACTGTAAGGGATCACTTGTGACTGGAGCAATGTGCCAGGGAGGAGGTCGGGTCCATGGCAAACATCTGCTTGTACTAATGGCCATTATCCATTTTTCTGCCACCAGCATACCTCACATTACAATGTGGACACCTCAGGGACCTTAGAAAGAGGCAACTTAATTATATTCTGCAGTGCTCGAAAGTGAATTCATGAGGAGATTATGTAGCGTGGACCTAGTTCAGAATCTCCTTAGGCTCACAGTAATGATTTTGCAGACAACAAAGTATCCAAAGAGAAAGATCAGACACAAAAAATGTCAGGGGCTAAAAGAGGAAGTTCACACACTCTTGATACACCTGGAACCAACCCTTTGAAAAGCAGGGCATACTTTTGACCTACTCTGCCAAACATTTGATTCTTTGTGTATAGACCCAGAATGGGTAAATTGTAACGCAGTAATCTAGCAGCAACAATAATGACCCATAGGAGTACATAGGAGCCTTGTTGTGCTAGTGCAATATAACTTTAACACAAGTTCCACATAAGTTTTTTTTAAATTGATTTAATTGAAGAAATGTGTGAACCCTGGTTAAAAATTGTCAGTCTTTTGTGAAAACTACTGTAGAACTCGGCAACAAGTGTGAATTTTGGTTTTCTGATCATTTCTATTTTCCCAGCCATTAGTGGGCTGTACACTGACACATTTAGAAAAGCAATTGGTGCATCAGCTAAATACTTATTATTAATTACACTGCATGCTCACCAGGAGGCTGCTGTAATTGACACAGCCCCTAATATTGTAAGAAATGTTGAATGCATCTGTGCTTTGTGACAGATTTCCATGGATCAAAAAAAAACCCCCAAAGGAAGCCATGTTTTTGTTTTCCCTCCCAGTCTTTAAATGTCTTCCGCAAGACGTGTGTAGGCAAAGGTCTATTTGATAGTTTTATGTTATGCCACTTGATATGCAGAATATTAGCATTGTGGACAATATATTTTTCTAGGCTATAGGACAGCTAGTATGTAAATGCATTCAGTGCAGTAGCACATGCCAACAGAAAGCATTTGAAAAATGAGTATTGTGTAGACAGTGCAGCAAGGTCAATGCCTCACTAACGGGTACTAAATTATGTGACTCAAAAAAATTATACAAATTCCTGCCTTTGACATCTCAAGACACCGCCCAGGTTTCACCTTCGGTATTCACATAATTGGCTCTGATTCGTATCTCTGCCCCCTCCCTTCTAGGCCTTTATGGAAATAAGTAGTTGTCTGTCAAGGATCAAATGCTTTTGCAGACAAAAGTAGGTAGTGAGAACATTACAGGATACTATCATCTCCCCATGATACTTGTGCACAAAGCTCTCTCTCTGCCTCTTTTGGCCTGACATAGTTTCAGCCTGACAGAATCCAGCAGGCCTGCTTGTTTTAAACAAGAGCACATCCTATTATTTTTTTGTGTAGTGAAGTGGAAAATGAATGCTTATTACACTGCTATCCATTTGATTTCCTTCTTTTAAAGATAATCGTATCGGCATCAGTCAGTGCTAATGGATCAGGTTTAATTTGCTTGGTAGTTTAACAATGAAGGGTTAACTGGAGTCAGGAGAATGAACTCTTAGTGATTGGATTTGGAGAAATACACAAAAGTGTGCAATGTGCCTAAATCAGATTATATGATCTAACATTTAACCATGCACATTTTGCTTTAGATTTATATGCCACTGGACCACTAGAAAATAATAGACATAAAAAAATAAGATATTTGTAATGCATCCTGCCATACCAAATTCATAACTAAAATGATTAAATGTAAGTTATTTACTATACGGAGAAGACACCCCCGACATGCACACACACACTATTTCCTCATTGTGATCTCATTGCGGCAGGGTTCTGTCTCCTTCTATAGCTTCCTATTGTGTTCCATGTTTTGCTATACAGCATTATGTACATGTCAGTGGTAATATTTTATGTAGTAGTATTATCTATATTACTCAACCTTCTCAGTGTGTCATTTGTGCAGTGCCTCAGAATATTATGGGTCTGTATTCGTTTTGAATAATAATTATTTTTAAGAGCATGTGGCTATATTTGCTAAAGGAATACATTTTGGACTGATTTTTACAAAAGAGGTTTCTAACAGGGTTTTTTTGTCAGGTCAACAATTCACCTATGGCAAGTGAAACATTGGCTTATAAAAAGAGTGTGTGTGTGTCTCTTTCATTAGTATTTTCTATACCTAATACGGTTACCTAATTAGTGCAAATGACAACTGCTGATAAGTGGTAAAAATTTGTTTTAAATACGAATCCCATTAATTTTCGAGCTCGACATAATGCAAATAGGTAGACACCCATAATAAACATTAGTGCCTTCCTTGTTCTTGGAAGCAGCCATCACATTATCTCTGACACTGCCTTGTCACTAGAAGAAAATAAGGGATGTGTTAGGATGTCATAGGCACCTATGTGTTCATAAATAATTCAGTAGCCTTCCTTTGTGAAATGCGTGTCCAATGTGTGTCCATTCTTTTTCTTCACAAAGCTCTCTGAGACGAGATGTCTTAAAATCCACACATGCAAGTCTTATTGGATTGTGCATATTTAGGATTAGTTTTTGAAAATTATATTTCTATCCAATAATTTAGTTTAAGATCACTTATTGATTTATGAGTATTTTTTTTTCTTGCAATGGAAAAAGACTTCTGGCAGAATTGTATATTCCTTAGGAGTAAAGAGAAAGTCTTCAGAATTCTGCAGTTTGTCTGTAAAATATAAGTATTCCCAACATTTGAGTGTACATTTTTTATGTAAAAAAATATATTGCTCTAAATACATTACTGCTACAGACCTGATTTTGTCATCATTTTTATTATCATATCCATCATGCATCCATCTCTGCAATTAAGAGAGTTAGTAGGAGGTTCTATGGGAAGTACTCAACCAAAATGAACGCTATCAAGCTTTGTAATATAAATAATCTAAGGGTCAGATTACTTTAGCAGTGTGCTTCTGCTACAATTTTAAATTGATTATTTATCAAGTATGGTAAACCCCAGTTTAATTGCCTGAAAGAATTATGTCCACTCAGATTTCCATATAGTTAGTGCATGTATAATTTGTGTTAAGTTATATTAATTTTTTTCTATATTTTTCCATTATCTTACAACCATACCTCCTCACATGACACTTAAAGGTCAATTGCACTCCCCCTTTACTTATTAAAGTCGAATTGGAGTCAAATGTTCTCTTTTCCGGATTATCTTAAAAATAGCAAGATAACCTTTAGAAATGTTTAGTAATGGCAACTTAAAAACAGATAATGCAGGCTTTTTATTGTTTGCATACCATATTTTTATTTTCCTCACGGTAGCCATTTTCACTAAGGGTGGATGAATCCATCTCACTTTACTCCTGGAACTCTGGCTCTGCCTCCTGGAACATGTGACAGTGCACATTATCTGAGGGGGAAAAGATGCCTTTCCCTCGAAATTAAGAAAGATTATGCAATTTACAGATGAGGTTTCCCCGAAGGACACTGGTGCTGTAGCCTTCCCAGGATGCATCTGTGAGGCACTAGTGATGTAGCATCACTAGTGCCTCACTCAATCAAAAAGATGAAAAACACATTGTTAGAAAAAACAAAAAAGTTTGTTTAATAAATGCGAGATGATTTCATATTAGCAGAGTCTACAAAAAAAAAAATAGTATTTTCGCCTCAGTTCCATTACTGGGGACCATTGTCCCTGGGAAAAAAACATAATCGTGTATCTCCTCAGGTGATATATCCAGCAATAATGTGTAAAACACTTTTCCTAACCCCATTCAGTCCAAAACAGAAACATACTTTTTTGTCTGGGGTTTCTTTCTTTAAAAAAAAAATCACTTGCAAGTATTGGTAAGTACAAAGCTTCAAATATTTGTTTGTGTGTACCCTGGGCATTGGTTAGCAGTATATATTATTGCTTTGCCATTCAGGTGTACATTACGTAGGTTCCACTAGTTCTTTATACTAATGTTTGTATATACAATACCTCTACCTTTTTTTTAATTTTCCTTCCATCAGCCCAGGCTAACCATAATTTGTGCCTGTATAACTGCTGGAAAGTGTAATCTCCTATGGGGCATATTGGCCTATTCTTTGTACTATAAAAACTGTATGACATGTTTGGTATATGTAACTGAATCAAATCAATACTGCTGAATATGTTCTGAAAGAGAACAATGGGCAGAAAATGTACTTGTTTGCCTGTGCTGTATAGTAAATCTGCATGTTTTAACCACCACCAGTTTTCAACATAGACTTGTTTTATTTGCAATGCATTCGTTTCAACTGAGGCAGTTGTCAAGGATTTATATCTCTTGGCTAACATGCAACTAAAATGCCCATGTCGCCCTAGTCTATGACTTAAAAAATATTTGGTACCATTGCATTCCCATCAGATAATGGCAAAGCCAAATCTTTAAATATCTTTCTCCTAATGGTTGAAGAATTTAAATCATAAAGATATACTGTTCATGGTACAGATTTCCAAGTGAATAAAGTTGAATGTTTGTGCTTTGGAGCCGAATGCTGCATTTCAGATACTAATCTACTGTGTCGCTAACAAGTGTGTATCATTTGAACCTTGCAGAGGAAGGAATCAATCACGAGTGCAAGCTGTGCAACCAGATGTTTGACTCTCCGGCAAAGCTTTTGTGTCACCTGATTGAACACAGCTTTGAAGGAATGGGAGGAACATTCAAATGCCCTGTTTGTTTTACAGGTAAGTCCACAATTTTATTGTGCCAGGCCTGAATCATAATTAAATGGTTGATGATCTGACTTTATTGCTAGCTGGAACGGTATCTTCAGGATCATTTAATTAGATACATGAATTGCTAACAAATTAACTTTTAATGAGCAGGCAAATGCATGGAATTATTTTCCAAGTGTTTAACTTGCCAGCTTATTATCACCGGCACCTAGGACTTTGTAGTGTTAATGCATCATACAATATCCCTGTTAACACTTTTAACCCTGAAGGAGGTTACACCTCTGTGACGTGACCCCTTTTCTTTTGACAAATTAAATTTACTGTCCTGTTCTACATGGGTATAGTTAGTAATAATGAACCTTTCTACCACTCTTTTATGGTATGTTTGGAATGTTTCCATCAAGGCATATTTATTGGTGGTAGTTGGGTATTTGACCTGAACTAAGCATTACTTGTGTCGAACTTGAACACTTGTGGGGTCTGTTTTTTAAAAACTATTGCATAGCTATTCATGCAACAAAACTGCATGTATGTTTGTTGTGTGCAAATTAATAAGCTGTTGTGAGAATGGGGCAAAATAAAACATTCTTAAAGTTATTACCGCATTATGGCCACTGTATGGAGCTGAGATCATAGGAAATAAATACCTCTTGGTAACAAGATACAATGTAATAATTCTAGAGAATGCTGAAGGGAATTAGCATACAATTGCCATTTTTGCTAGTAGCAATGGTTTCATGTATCTTGTTACTAAGATGTGTTTATTTCCTATGTTTCTCGGCCATTTGACCAGAAGAGAAAATAGCATTAAGAACATACAATTTTACCCCATTCTCACAACTGCTGTTTCACTAACTATGCATTTTGTTTTTTTTTATAAATCGATACTATAATATGAACCTTGTATAGTTATTGAAAAGGGGAGCTAAACCCTATTTAGCCATCTTGATTGTCTTTGTCGGGATGACGTTTGAATGGGAGTTCATTCATTCCAGGAAATGCTGAAACTGCACACTAAGCTAGTCATTTCTAATACTTATTGGGGTAAATTGGTGATCGATTTTGACTATAGTAATGAAAAATATCGAAGGAGCAGGATAAAAAAATGTTCGCAAACAAACAAATTTCTAACAGTGAATGGGGTTTTTGTTCGGAGAACCATCCATTCCAAAGTCGAATGTTAAAATCAAATGAAACTTCAAATGGCATTTGGTGGTTTTTGATGCCATTATCAAATGTTCTGATGAGATTTTTAATATGAATGTTTGATTGAAAATCTACTGGTATATGCACATTTTAAGAATATCATTCTACGCCCGATCTATCTTATATTTAGATCATTTGTAAATCTGATAGATTAAACCATTTATTTGCACTTCTCATTTGCAGCACTAAGAAATCAAGAAGATAATTGTCAACAAGCAGTTACATTAGCAACCGATTTAGTTTGGATAGATCAGTATACAAAAATGTAACAAATAGGTTATCCCACTTTGGCTTCAAAAGTGGAAATACACTTTAAGGAGGTAATTCACCATAATAAAGCCTATCTCTGCTGTGTTTTACTAAAAATAAAAATGTCAAGCAACTTAATCAACTACAGCTTTTTATTCAAACTTGAGAAACATTTTTTTCAGTCTATGCATAATGAAAGAATCTCACCCTTTACAGTAAGGAACATGCCTTCAACCAACACTGCAAGTGTTACTTCCAGCTGATTTGTTAAGTGATCAATTCTTATCTCGTACAATAGCTAGGTATTACTCAAAATTTACAGATTGTGTACATCACCAATAAAATCAGGCAGTGTTTGGCCAGTTGCGTTAAACTCTTCTACTTATAGTTGGCCAGTGTTTAAATTGATATGCTGCATGTGGTTAAGTTATGCAGCATTTACCTATATGTAAAGGCCCACAAAAGACCTATAAAAACCCACATTTAAAGACTGAAACTGTCACATGTTGGCTCAATAGATCGGGAAGTGAGCAAACACATGCCATCGCTTGCTCACTTCTCGATCATTCCCCCCTCCCTGCTCCGATCCTCTAGCGCTGACTAGGAGGGGGGTGCCTCTAGATAGACAGAGCCCATTGTCACTCACGCAGCTGGGTGGATCTCGACAGTAATGTCGGGATCCATCCTGGCTGCGGCGGTCTCCGTATACCGCAAGCTGTAGCATGTTTTTAACATGTTTTATGGTCTTGGTTTCTCCTGTAATAATTTGACTATATTGTGAAGTCACCCACAATCATTCTTAGGATGTTTTTGTATTGGTAGGACACATTTAAAAGAGAAGTAAAGCCAAACATTTAAAAAAATGCTTTATCAACTGACCATGGGGAACCACGCTGCAATTGAGGAGAGAAGATTAGACTGAGAGGTGACCGATCAGTGGTTGCATGAATGGTCAGGTGTCACTGGTGGAGTTTTTGTGTAACAGCTGCAGCACTTCTCTTTTAAATTCTTGCATAATCTACATAATTCTTTTTTAACTGACATTATCATATCCACAAGATAACTTTCTCACAGCCTCCAGCATTCTTTAGGTGTCCATGGTTACGGACACCTGTACTGACAATAGAGATCAGTGAACGGGGATTTATCAAATAGGGTGTAGTGAGGTATAGTGCCTCATAGGCTTTGAATACCTGTGCCTCTGACATGTTAGTAGAAGTTTTTAGCACATTATTCCTTAGCTTAGGAAATTCTCTAATGACCCCATCTGTGAGTTTTTTGTTTCATTAGACATGATGAGCTCATTACACCACAAATTAAGATATTTTGAGTTTTCAACTAGAGCAAGGCCTCATTCACACGAGAAACGGCCGGCACGAACAACCCGGTCCGTGCGGGTGTCCGTACGCTGACCGGATGGAGCCTGTCTGCGTCCGGGCCGGGACACCTGCACCCGTATGGACCTGCATTTGGGGTCAGCATAGGGTGGCGTATGGCTGCGTAGTCCCATAGAGAAAGACAGAGGCTATGTACTAATCACATGCAGCACCTGTCCTTCCTGGGAGCTGCCAGATACGGCCGTTTCTCGTGTGGTTGAGGGCCGAAGGAAAACCATGGATAGCGCAGAGGTATCCCTGAGAAGGAGGGTAGGGAGACATTACTGTTATTTACAAGTCATTTGGTCCCTTTGTGGCTGGACGTACAGTGTACGTCTCCCGTCACGAAGGGGTTAAAGAACCGCTGGCAATAATCATGCAACAATGTATTCATGGGTACTGCCTTTCTTCCTCTTTCAGGAATGATGAACACTAATAAGTGCGTATAGCCACCTCCTTCCCGGTCACATGATGTCTTCAGGCCCCGTTCACACCAGGGTGGTTCGACAGTGTGATCCGTAACCCCCCCCCCACAGACACACACCCGCATTGCTCCCTGACCCTTTTTTGCCATGCTGATCAGTGCGGTTTCCATACCGCTTTCAATGGAATTGCGCTGATCAGTATGGTTTTGGGCATTTTTTATTGCGTTTCAGTGCTAAAAGTAATCTAAAAACTCCCCTAACCTCCCTTTTGAAATTGGCGCCTGTAACCGTGCTGATCCGCAGCCACCCTGAATGGACTCTTAGAGAGAGGTGGTTTTGACCGGCATTAAGATAACTGCACTTCTGCTCCCTTTTGTGAAATATTTGCATTCTACACTTAGAATGTGGGGTAGCTCCACTCAAAGTCCTATATGGACTTAAAATAAATCAAGTAATAGATGCTACATACATACATTTGTTACCAAAGTTTTAAAATTGCTGGGTAGAAAACCAATTCTCAGCATTTTAATGCTTGAAGGATGGGTAGGTTTATTTGTTGAGGCTAATTTACTGAAGGATTTGGGAATTTTGACACAATAAATTGTATGAGGATTCAATTACCCAATCATTTGATACGTTTGCTTAATGTATACTCATTTCAGCTGCACATAATTTGATAATTGGATAAAGTGCCTATTCACACAATTTATTGTATGAACATTTCCATATCATTTAAAAAATTGTTTTGTAAATCAGCCTCAGTCTGTTTGAGTTTCCTTTATCAGACACAAATAACTTGGAACATTATGGAAACACTAAGGCCTTGTTCACACACAGCGCGTTACAGAACGGAGCAAAACTGCGTCCAATGTATTCCAATGGTATTTTTAGCTCCAAATCACATTGCAGCGTTCCGTTCCAGAGCAGGTAAAAAACTACAGCAGGCCCTATCTTACCTGCTCTGGAACGCATGCAAACGCATCAAAAACGCATGCAAATACCCTGGAACGCACTGAAAGCCCATTTTAAACGGAAAAAATAACTTTTTTTTAAAACCAAAAACGGCCCGGAACACATCAAAAACGCGGCAAAAATGCTGCACAACCCACTGCACTGTGTGTGCAGAAACTCAAGCAGATCTGCTCTGCATTTGGTGTGAACAAGGCCTAATGCTTTGAGCACTGACTATTTTCAGACTTTATTTTTACTAAATGTTATTCATTTATACTGCTGTACTAGATATTATGTCTAATCCTCACTTTTCTGTTTAGTTTTTGTTCAGGCAAATAAGCTACAACAGCATATATTTGCAGTCCATGGGCAAGAGGATAAAATCTATGACTGTTCCCAATGCCCGCAGAAGTTCTTCTTTCAGACGGAGCTTCAGGTAAAACTTTAATAATTGTGAACTTTTTTTGAGAATTTTATTGTGTGCCTATCCCAATCTATTTTCTAAATAAGAAGTAAGTTGGAAATGTATTTGTATTTGTTTTTGTATTTATTAGTCCCACTGTTATATTTAGTAGATGTGACTGCAGGAGATTTTTGGGGACAGTGAGGATTGTTAAAGGATATGTAATATATGTAACCCTGAAAATTAAGTTCCCTTATTTGCTCCCATATGAATTATCTGCCATTGCTGACTGTTATTAGTTAGCTTTGTTCCCAGCTATCTCTGGACTGCAAAATATCTTTCCAAATATTCTGGAGAAAAGGTATTCCATAGTTCCAAGCCAATTCCTGTCCTAGGGTAACAATGCTGCTGCTTTTATACTGAATATACAGTATTATGAGTTAGTGTCACCCTAAGGCAAGAAGTGTGTTACTGACAGGATAACCAGGTGTGAGGAAAGAAAACTAATGCACCACCACCACATCTAGAAGTTGGTAAGCTGCAGTATATTACAGTTCTGTTCTTGGTATTAGATTTGAAAGAAATGTGTGGTAAGTACGGTAGAAATAATATATCTTTATAACTACTATTTTAAACAAGTAGCTGATACTTCAAAAACCCGCTGTGTCCTGTAAATGCCATTGCCATTTATCGTGGGTACAAACACATGTAGTGTGTGTATCCTTTGAGGTGTTTAGCCTGAAAACCGTTCTGCAATTTTTGTCACTTACTTACATTTGTTATACTTATATACTTTCCTACAACTGTATGGAGTGGCTCTTCGGTTTACAAAAATTAAAAAGGCAAACTAACTCACAACAGCCTCCTCACCCTATAGTCCCTGCTGCACTTAGCTGCAAGTATACCATTCATGACAGCTGGTTTAGTGCTCCTGTCCCTTGAAAATTCATTACACAGTCCCAGAGGCTGCATAGCAACATAATGCTTGCAATGGCGAGTGGCCATTGGTCACCACGTGATCGTGCTAACCAGTAAAGTAAGAATCTCTTCTGAGCCTCCTTTTTGTAACAATTTTTTAATATTGTTTATAACTAGGGAAAAAAATGGTGTAGGAAATGTTTACAGAAAATACATTACAATGCAGATCTAAGCAACAGTAAAATAAATGATGTTTACAAGTGAAAGCATACTTGAGTGGAGCCCACCTGATATTGATACTGTGCATAGTTCAAATAACTGGAGGATAAAGTCCAATCTGATGTTGCAAGCAGTCACAGTCGGTAATGTTTAGTCGATTCTATGGTAAAATAGGACCTGCAGCTGCCAAATGCAGCAGTTTTTTTTCTTTCTGGTCTCTAGAAACTGTGTCACAGAGCCAACGCCACCCAATCAAAGGGTCCAAGGGATATGGTGAAAAAAATATGCTGGGTACACACATAATTGCATCTGACAAGGTTTCACAATCCCACTACCAACATATGTTTAATAGAATGACATTAGGACTTGCTAGATACCTAATATGATATAGATCTTGTGTATATTTCTCTTAGGAGGTCTTATGTGTCTTAACCTTCTGGACCTTGTGTGTTTGGAGTCTTAATTGCTTGGTATCTTCTTATATGTTTGGTGTAACAAATAACAGCAGGAATTATGGCTCTGGCAGTTTTGGGGGTTTTTTTAGGTCAAAATTCCCAGGCACACAGATGTGTATTTCTGAGCTGCCCAAACTATTTGCTACTTGGCCATTCATTTAGGGCCTCGTCAGTAGTCCTTTTGAAGACCCTACTAAGTAAGGATTATGATGCTTATGCATTTTTAACTTTGTCTTTGTGCTTGCGTGGGTTTCCTCCCACACTCCAAAGTCCTGCTGGAAGGTTAATTGGCTCCTGTCTTAATTGGCCCTCGTATATATACATGTGAGATAGTGACCTTAGATTGTAAGCTCCTTAAGGGGAAGGGATTGATATCAATGTGCGACTATGTTAAGTGCTGCTTAAATTGTCGGTGCTATATAAACCTGTAATAAATAAAAAAATATCTGTAAATATTCTTACAGCTCTTTATATAAGCTCCATTTAGTGTATGTTGATCCTTTCAGTAGTCAAACCAAAAACTGCAGTTAGAGAAACAGCACCCCCATATGAATATATTTCTCTGTTGCCTTGGTTTTAACGGTAGACTTTGAGAGAAGTATGTTACGTTGATGTTTATCCAACAACATTTGCATCCTTCCTACAAGGCCAGTGATGCATATGAACACATATCCCATTACTGCTCGCATAAATGACCTCAAGCATTCTAAAAAGTCAGTGCATCAGAACTCACCACATTTCCACTGTACAGCTTAACTGTGCCTGGTTTCCACATTTTAATCTTTGATTTCTTTTTATTGTAAAGTCAATTATTTGTGTACAGTATAAGTTTCAGGGTTATTAAAATTAATATCTGATCCCATTATTTTAAAATATCTGCCAGGTTTTCCATCCTTTGCACAGTAATGCTTCCCTGGGGTCTGTTTTAAAGCCTTTTTTGTTTTTCAGTTGACATCTGTACAGCAGGTACAGTTTTAAGAATTAGATCAAGTCAGTGTAAATCATTTGTGCATCAGTCCAATACAGATAAGGTGCATTGATTGCTCCCAGAGCAAAAAGTGTCTCTGTTCACCTCACATGTTTCTCCTCTTATTTGGTACTAATCCATATGAGTGAGTCCTGTGTTAGCTATTCTCGCAGGAGATTTGGCACTCTGCTGCATTCACTCATCCAGAAGCAGCTTTCAACATTGAAACATCATTTTTAACACAAATCATTAATATTCTCAGTAAATTGAACCTATTTCTTGTCTACATACATGAGGTCATCAAATAATACAACCAAATGAGACTCAAACATCGTGTTCTCAGCATAGAATATGATACCCTAAAACACTAGGTAGTAACGCTGCATCACAGTGCAAACCACTAAGGCTTCATTCTCACCTCGGTGACAGCATTCCAGTGCAGATTGCGTGCTTTTTATGGCGTGTATATAAGTTGCACATTTTTTTTGTGAGCAGATTTTGACATATTAATTTAATTGGGAAATGCGCGTAAAATGTGTGCAAAATAGTTGTTGAGCGTTTACAAGTGTTTTTCCTATTAAGTCCATAGAGACAAATCGCACTGATCTGCCATAAAAAAAAGCTCATGTACTTTTTCCAGTGACAGGCACACATAAATGGGGTGCGTATTTGTGGACAGGGGCCATAGGAATACATAGTATATTTTGTGCTGCGCTTTACAGCGCCCACAAATACGCACGTCTAAACGCCATGGTGTAAATGGGAAAGGGGCACTAAACTCACTGCTCCTGCCTGCTATTGGTTACCACTTACTGATGTTAGTTTGCACTTTATAGAAAGTTGTTAATAATCTGGTTGCTATCGATTATCACTTCTGATTCATAATGTGCTTGAACATCGTTTTTTTGCAGTTTATATATCTATCTTTAAACATAATTTTTGTTTTTTAATATCACTCATATGAGTTATTGCTCATTTTTACACATTTATTTTTAGTTAGTACTTTTAGCTCTGTGCATATTTATTGATTATGTAAAATCTTGTTTCGGTACTATAATTTAATTTAGAATTATTTTAAATGACTGACTTCTCACCCGTGTTAATAAGCATCTGGCTGGATGGCAGCTGAATTATTATGATGGTTGATGTTTATCGAATATACCATGTTAATTGAGGGTGAATCTCTTTCCCTGTATACTTTGCAGGACAAAAAAAAATATCTATTTACCAACAGGCAGGAAGCGGAGATGCATGTACGCACTCTGGAGTCGGTGTGGCTTTTCAGAGCGGAGTCCGACAAGTAAAACACTAGGTTTTCTTACAGCCTATTTGTTGATGTAGATTCTGTAGTTCTATTAAATTAGATGAATGGCCACCTTACTTTTTTTGTGTGACAAGACCACAGAGCTTGCAATAGAAATGCAGAAAACAGCATTTCTGGAAAGTGCGAGACATAAACTCTACGTGTTGAATCTTTTCCAGTGTGTAATATGCTGGGACACTTGTCTGACATTATGCCAGTAGTTTGCATTGTAACAAACACAATGGCATTTGATACATGGTAAAAGCTGTGCACTAATTAGGTCAAATGTGGCATAAAATCGTACCCACTTCATGAAGAACAATACATTAACTTGAATTTGCTAATGCTGCTTTCAAAGGGAAGAACTTTCCCTAACTCAGATTAAAGATAAGAGATCTGCCTTGCCATCCCACTCGAACGCTCAGAATGACCACTGAACATTTATGTGGGACATTTTCTGCATTAAGGTAAAAAACGCCCAGTACCTATTTGACTCCCCTGCCCCCCCCCCCCCCCCCTTCTTCACCACTCGGGACCACAAAAGCCCCCCCCCCCCCCCCCCCCCCCACTTGTCAACACTGCTGGTCCCCAAAGCGATCCTCCATCCCGAACTTCCTGGTTGAGGGGGAGGATACTGAGGGTAGAGGAGCCAACTGTTGGGCGGATTGGAGGGGTGTGGCCTGCTACAGGGCTTTGTGTGACTGGACGCACACAGCTACTGCAGGCATGGCTGGGAACGTGCGTGCGTGCAGGGGGTGGGGTGGAGAGTGATGCGGGGACCCGCTAGAAAACGAGGATTTGAGAATTTAAAAAAAAACAAAGATCTGCAATAAAGACAGCCTCCCACTGATAAAAAACTAAAGCTTTACTATTACTTCAAGTTGGCCATTTGCACAACTCCATGCTCACATTTCAAAAATCCTCCAGCATACTGGATGGTTGCCACAAATACAGGTGTTGGTTCACAGCTATTTGTATACCTTATTTATTACTGAATAGCTACTGAATCTTAGACTTTGCTTTGAGTACAATCTTTCAATCCCTACCATTCCTTTTTTTCCATCTGCCACTCTGTAATGTTGCATTACTGTGAAAATCATGTCAAACACTGCTGGTTCAAGTCATTAACCGTTATTAACAGTGTCTTTTTTTAGCAACCTTATATTGGTCT